ATAAAGAATGTTTTCCTGTGATGTAATCCCTTCTGAAACAGAAAATCACTTTATATAAAGTCCAATTAGGTCCAAATACAGTATAAATGGGCTCTGTATAACAATTAGACTTCAAACACAGAAGAGGCTGAATATTACATTATTTTCTATTGGCCTCCCTGGTTCCATGCCAAACACGTCTTGGCTGCAACAGAAGAATGAAGAGGCTTTTGTATTTAGGGGAGAAAAGGGAACATAACTATGGGGCTCTAGAAGGGTATGGTTGCAACCTGGCGCTTTGCAGGAAATTTGGAAAATGAGTAAAGCTCTTATAATTGCAACTCTAGCCCTAGCTGGTTTGTCTCAATGGATAGAACATCAGTCTGTGGACTGAAGGGTCCCTGGTTTGATTCCAGTTAAGGGCACATGCCCAGGTTGTGGGCTCCATCCTCAGTAGGGGGTGTGTAGAAGGCAGCTGATCAACAATTATATCATTATGCTTCTATCCTTTCTCCCTCTCCCCTCCTCTCTGAAATCAATAGTGTGTGTGCGCGCGTGCGTGTGTGTATTTAAAAAAATTTAAAAATAATTACAACTCTATAGGTAGGATCTTCTTACACACTCTGGGAACTTGATAACATATTCCTGTATAAACCTAACCCTTGTCAATGTGACCTACTATATATTTAGCAGCTACAGTGAACCATAAGGTTTTGTTCAGAGATGCAAGGTTAGACATTAGCTTTTATGTCCAGGAAAAAAAAAAATCTATTTTGAAGGTAAAAAGAAAAAGAAAAAAAAGATAAGCTATTTTACTTAAACAAAAAGGAAAAACCGTAATAGCTATTTAGAACACAGACCAAGATCTTTTCAACTCACTACGCCTGAGTTTGGAAAGAATACCAGCCCTGGCCAGGTGGCTCCGTTGGTTGGAGTGTCGTCCCATACACCGAAAGGTCGTTGATTCCTAGTCAGGGTACATACACAGGTTGCAGGTTTGATCCTTGGGGGTATACGGGAGGTAACCGATAGATGTTTCTCTCTCTCTCAATCAGTTAAAAAGCAAAAAAGCCCCACAAAAAGATATATCGTTGGGTGAGAATATATTAAAAGAAATAAAATGAGTAAGCTGCCGTATTAGTCAAGAAGTTTAACAAGTGTTTGCTGGTAAGCAAGAGCTACTGGAATAGTGCAGTAAATCCTGATGTGTCACAGAATCAAAACAAAGAAACAAACAAAACAAGACAAACACTGTCCCACAAATAAAAGGAGGTTCCAGTGTAACCTCATCTGTGACGGCAGCTGCTTTTTCCCAAAGGACTCAATCGCTTCCTCTAACAATAGCCTGTTCGAGAGGCATGGCTCCCGGGGAAGCTAAACTCGTACAGCTGAAGCCCCAGAAGCGAGCTTTATCACCCCGAGCCGGGCGCGCTGACCGGATAGATACACTTGTGCTGGACTCTGCCTGGTATTTCAGAGCAAAATGCTCCCTTAATTATAGCTCTAGCTTCTCAAGCTTTAGGCAGCTTAGGCAGAAGCTGCCTAAACCAACTAAAATTGGATCCCTGCAGAAAAAACATAGTTGAGGGAAACATGTGCACCCACCACCTACGCATCTGTTAACATTGAAACCAGAAGGCGGCGAGCACGTTAACGCACACATAAGAACGGGCTGTTCGATTCAGTAATTCACAACATTCACTCAGAAATATTATGGCGGTCTTTTAAAGCAGCATGCCCCAGCGGCACAACCAGTCCCTCTGCTCAACAGGCTTTTATTGAGCTGCTATGTCCTAGGCGCTGTGCTGGGTGCTGAGGACATAAAGATTAGCAAAGCGGACATGGAAAGCTCCTTGGGTTTGTATGGTTTCTAAGGCTGAAAAGCAAAGAGAAAAAAAGGCCGTCCTTTGATTTTTTTTTCCATTCGAGGCAGTCACCCCCAAACCCCTGCCCCAGTTATGAGGGGGCTGAGGCCCACGAGTTTCTGTGGGGTCAGCTGGGACGTTTGTGGGCAGCTGCTTCCTGGAGCCCCAGCATAGACAGCAGCAGACCCTCCGGAGAGCCCGTTAATAAGCTCTGACCGCTATTTATACGGCCGCTGCGCCTGGAAACGCTGTCTGAGATCTAAAGGGGTCACCATCTTCCAGGCTCGGCCGAGGAGTGAGGGGCACTCTGCTGGCCTCAGAGAGCCAGGGGAAGGAGGGGGGAGAAACGACGGGCATTGGGAGTGAGGACTAGGAACCAGCTCAGACTTCCCCCGTCCTCTTCCTTCTCTCCTCACTGACCAGACAGACACGGGGTGAGCAAGGGGAGGGGGGCTGCTGGTGTCCGTGGACGGGGTGGAAGGGGATAGGATACAGTGCTCAGGGAAGGGAAGACATCACCAGCAGTGTCAGAGGAGGTCTGTGAACGTGACAGAAATGAGTCACCGCCCGGAGTGAATGATGACATATGTGGTACATGCTGGCAGGGGCGTCATTAGAAAGTTGGGCACTGCTGAGGGCATCCAGAGACATCCGGTCCAAAGATTAGCAAAGACTGGCTGGTTCTTGGACATGGGAATGTGATATACGCTGACAGACTATAACTAAAGAGAAAACGAGAAATGAACCCTACCCTGTTGGAGTTTGTAATGGCATGGAAATTATAGGGTTACATATCAATATTAGTTATTAATCATTTATTTTATTTTTAATATGTTTTTATTGGTTTTAGAGAGGAGGAAGAGGGGAAAACAGAGAGAGAGAGAGAGAGAGAAAGAAGAGAGAGAGAGAGAGAGAGAGAGAGAGAGAGAGAGAGAGAGAGAGAGAGATGGAGGCACATCCACGGGCTTCCTCCTGCATGCCCCCCACTGGGGATGGGAACCTGTGCCCAGTCGGGAATCGAACCATGACCTCTTAGTGCAGACAAGGAAGCTTCACTCCAGACGGAATGACTGGACTGAGGTCACACATTTATGCTCTGGCATCACACTTGAACATATACGACTGGCATGTGTCAGAGGCATAAACATGATTTTTATTTAGGAATCACAGGCAAGTCATGCAAGCGGAGGCAGGAGGGAGGGAAGAAGGCAGGCTCCCCCTCCCCCCCAACACCTAGGTGAAGTGCCTCGTGCGCTGGAGAAACGAAAGCACCGACGTGACTATTGCACATTTCAAAGCTCCGGGAAGACACACAAGCAACAGTTTCTGGTGAAAAACTGCCCCGAAGCGTATTTAATCAGAGAGAAATGTCAGTCTTTTCCAGTCTGCCTTAAATCACATAAATTAATGCCACTCAAAACCTGACAGCATGTAGAAGTAACGGGTTTAGATTTCATTTCTGTCATAATTATAATTTCAGAGTAGTACCAGAAAAGACTACGCAGACTGAGGGAAGGAACACATTGCTGTGTCAGTGCGGGCGGGCGGAAGGACAGAAAGCTCAGGGACAGAAGAGGCAGCCTCTGTCTGAGCCTGAAGAGGGGCTGACTTCAGGGGCCCCCTAGGAAGGCAGAGAGAAAATGACCTTTTCGCTCTAAGGAAATCTTCAACAACGGCGTTTCACATGAACTCTGATATATTGACATAATATCTATCATAATAAAACCGTAATATGCTAATTAGACCGGACGTCCTTCTGGTCTCCCCCTCCTCAAACCATCTCAAGCCAGATTGGGGCCTGCCCCGTGTGGCTCAGTGGTCAGCACTGATTCCTAGTCAGGGCACAGGCCCACACTGCAGGCCTGGTCCCCAGTGTGAGGTGTGCAGGAGGCAGCCAATTGATGATTCTCATCAATGATCTCTCTCTCTCTCTCTCTCTCCCTCTCCTCTCTCTCCCTCTCCCTTCTTCTTCTTCTTCTTCTTCCTCTTCTTCTTCTTCCTCCTCTTCTTCTTCTTCTTCTTCTTCTTCTTCTTCTTCTTCTTCTTCTTCCTCTCTCTCCCTCTCTCTCTCTCTCTCTCTCTCTCTCTCTCTCTCTCCCTTTCTCCCTTCCTCTCTGAAATCAATAAAAATATATATTTTTTAATAAGACAGATTGGAAAATATCCTTAGTAGGGTGTAAAAATTTATGACACTTAAAAGGAATTATTCCCTCCTATTTAAAAAAAAAAAAAAAATTAGACTATAGCCCTAGCAAGTTTTGGTCAGTGGAGAGAGCATCAGCCTGTGGACTGAAGGGTCCCGGGTTCGACTCTGGTCAAGGGCACACGCCAGGTTGCAAGCTCGATCCCAGTGGGGGGCATGCAGGAGGGAACTGATCAATGATTCTCTCTCATCACTGATGTTTCTGTCTCTCTTTCCCTCTCCCTGCTCTCTGAAATCAGTAAAAATAATTATTAAAAAATTAGACTATATATTTTATCGTTCCAATTTTAGTATATGTGCTGCCGAAGCGAACACTTAGACTATATATTTTAGAGCAGTTTTAGGTTTACAACAAAATTGGGTAGAAAGTACAGTTAACATCCCTCCCCTTTTTCATTTGAATGGATATCAAATACTGAAACAAAAGTAGGAATTTTTATTCTGCGGTCTAGAGAATCCATGGATCTCAGATACTACATCCTGAACTGTGGTGTATGGTGTATATACATTTTTTTGGGGGGATGCATATACTTAAAAAAAAAAATAAAACCTCACCCAAGGCCAAGGGTATGTTTTTAAAATTGACTTGAGAGAGAGAGAGAGAGAGAGAGAGAACCAGAGCGCCTCTCGGCCATGGCTTTATGTACATTTTTTAAAGGAAGCAGGTCTCAGCAGGTTATCAAGGGGACGGCATTCAAACACAGCTAAAACTACTGAGTTAAACAATGAAGTTCAAGGTCCAGACATCAGGTAGAGAGATCAAAGGAACTATTTTGGGGACAGAAGGCTTCACCGGTGTCCCTAAAACACACCACACAGGTGGCTGCCACTCAGAGTGCCAGTGAGTATGCCTAGGCCTCTGACTTAAACAGGCTATTGAAATATCCTGGTACATAAATTACAACCAATGAAACAACTTCCAAAAAACATATGATGACATCTTGTTAACGTACCTTTAAAGCTTCTATAACGAGGTCCCTGGCTTCTAGCTCTCCTTCAAGAATACTGAACAGCGTTAGGAGTTCAGGCTTGCTGAGTTTTTCCAGATTCATCCTGAAGGCCTAAAACAGAGACACAATCAGACAATCTCTGAAGACAGAGTTAACTTGATATGATCAAAGAAAAATAAATTGAGACAGACAAGCAGTATAACTATTACAGTATAAAACGCTTTCAGAAAATAAAACTCACTTTATTGATTTCATCATTACTCACAAAAAATACATTTTATCATTTTTCCTCTAGGCATATTTGCAAGCATCCTAGAGGGTCTCTGAATTAGTTAGTCACTAATTTTGTTCACTAGAAATTCAGGTAAAATTGTGTTACAATCAATAGTATTTCACCAAAAATTGTTATACCATAAAAAGATTTCCCACCTTTAGATAACCAGATTCAAAACTCGCATATAAAACATGCTGGCATCCCTCAGAAACTGGTTGAAATGAAATTTGAGCAAAGATAATGTTTGCTGAGAGATTTTTCTTTTAAATTGTCTACTTTCGGAGAGAATATCACAATATTTATATTTCATATAGCAAAATAAAACTTAAATGCAACCAATATGCAAAAAATAATTTTAAATGACTTCTTAAAAATATACTGTTTTAAACATCTTTTAAAAAAATGTATTTTATTGTTTTTTTTTACAGAGAGGAAGGGAGAGGGACAGAGAGTTAGAAACATCGATCAGCCGCCTCCTGCACACCTCCTACTAGGGATGTGCCCAAAACCAACGTACATGCCCTTGACCAGAATCAAACCTGGGATTGTTCAGTCTGTAGGCCGACGCACTATCCACTGAGCCAAACCAGTTAGGGCTGTTTTAAACATCTTAATTGGTCAGACTACTGAATGTATTTCACTTAAGCTCCCATTTCTATAAGGAATTGTATCTTTTGAAATATGTTAAATGTGAAATCTCATGGCACAAATTCTATCTTTTCCACAAGATTCATTTCTCCACAAACCACACATAGAAAAGGGATGGCTGTTTCAGGGTCTTTTGACCAGCAGTTATGGCAAAATACATTTTATAACTTCCAAAGTAGAGCAAAGACTACTTTCCTATAGGTTTCTGTAGAATGATTCATGGCAGGACTGGTTCCCACACCCTCCAGTCATTCCCAGCTCTTAGGAGAACATTACATTTTGGGCGGCACACAAAGGACTCATTGATTTCCTCCAGAGCTATGCCTCAGGTGGAGGAAAACAGGGAGAAAAGTCCTACTTCACTTGCTGTCAGATTATGTTTTGAGACAAGCTGTACAAACCTTTTCGCCATACGGTAACATATGTGCATTGTAACTTCCCCTTTGAAGGGCTAACTTTCTAACAAGGGAGTTTTAGCAACGAGTAATTCTCACATCAGTGCTAGAGAGAGATCTCAAAGCAGTTAATTTTTAAAGACTAGTTTACTGATTTTGAGAGAAAAAGGAAGGGAGAGGGAGAAAGAGAGATGAATGTGAGAGTGTAACATGGATGGGCTGCCTCCTGTACGCCCCCTCTCGAGAATCAAGTCCTCAACCCAGGCATATTCCCTGACCAGAAATCGAACCGGGAACCTTTTGGTACAGGGGATGGGGCCCAACCAATTGAGCCACACCGGCCAGGGCTCACAGCAGTTATTTTAAAAGTGAGAACTAGAAAGCAACAATAAACCTCATAAAGCTAAACTTCATAGAGATGGAATGTTGGGAAGAGCACGTGGCATTGCAATCAGATAGGTGCCAGGCCTGCGTCTTCCTGGTTGTGTAACTGGGCGAGTTTTCGGATTATCACCTTTCTTACCTGAAAGGGGAGGATGATCTCTAACTCACAGCGTTACTGCGGAGATTGCGTTAATAAAAGTAGAGCGCAGGGCCAAGTTCCTGATACAAACTGCAGAACGGTTAATTATTAATCACTACCATCCTCTCTCATTTTCCAACGCAGCTCCGAGAACAGTATCACCACAGTTAGGGGCGGCCAAGACCAGAGACCTCAGAAATCCCTCCAGCGGCCCTTTGGAAAAAGGCGCCAGCATCCTGAGAGAAGAATGGCGAGGGGGAGGCTGCAGCTGAGTCACCTGGCTTGTTATCTCTACGTTTGTAAACCACTCACGTGCACAAATGTTCGTATCTGGAACGTTTTGCTAATATGTACCAACCCATTTAGCTTAGTGTCTGCATGAAGTGAATGCAACACAAATATGACAAAGAAAAAAGGTCCACAGCTGTATAATAATTCAAAACCCATCAGATCTGTGTTTTTTTTTTTTATATCCTGATAACCTTTCTTTATAAATATTAAAACTTAGCAGCTCTTGGCTTTTCTAGTCATTTGAACGTCATCTCAATACACAAGACACTGCAATACATTTTTGCATGAAATATAAATGAAGAGAGTCAAACTGCCTTATGTTTTAGGATGGCAGGGAGATTGCTGAGGGTGGGGGTAGGGATGAGGGTAAGGCAGGGGTGGGGGATGATGGTGGTGATACTGACCTGATAATTGGCAGTCACACTTCAGTCCTCAAGTAGAAACTCTTAAAGTTTTCTTCAGTTAAGATTTGGGAAAACTGACGAATATATTTAAAATGCCGTCAACATGGTGAAAAAGTGTCCAACGCTGCAAGATAATAAGAAATTTATTGCCTAAGTGACCACTCTATAAACAATTTCTAAATCTCATGAATGTCAACGGTGTCATTAAGATGATGAGGCCGGCAGCTGTAGGTGGATTCAAACAGCAAAGAGGAAAAGAGCCACTTCTCCGAGCTGAGGCTGAGTAATACGGGACAAGGAGCAGGGATCTGGCTTCCGTGCGCAGTTGTAATTGGGGAAGGTGAGGGCTTTCAGAACCTCTTTCACTTTAAGGTGTCCAGTGCCATTTCAAGGACTGATGTCCGCATGTCTCTACAAGAGACTGACTCTCCTTGAACGGACAAAAGCCTATTTGCTCGAGTCACCATGACTTAGGCACAGCGAACAAAGAAAAAGAAATAGAACTGAATTTTTCAAATTGCCCAATTCGTGAGAGGAGAATTCTCATCCCCTCAGCTCCTGCCAGTCAAAACACAAATCAACCAACCTGTCCCCATCTGGACTTTGTAAGGCCGATCGCTCACCCATTGATGTTCAAATATTTAATGTCAAACTACATACGAAATGTGTTTTACTGTCCTAACAGTGGATTGGACCCAGCAGACTTTAAAAAATGACAGGTCTAACATTTTACTTGATGAAACATCATCTTGTCTTGTATCGGTAGGCACCAGGCCTGACACCTATTTGAGTTGCCAAAACATGACGGTCAAATAGGGACAATGTTGGAGGCATAACACAGCCAAAAATGCTCGTGTCTTTAACCAGGAATCAGCCGTTAACCTAATTAATTATGGGTCTCTCCATTTAGGAGCGGAGTGTGCTGTGCAGTCAGGAACAAGCATAGAGCCATCATGTAGGCAGACCACTAAAAAGCCGTACCCCACATTTCCGCCCAATTTATAAGTTATGTGGCCCGGGGTTTTGAGAGAAAGGCCGTTTCGAACTCCGCAGTCACCATCAGGAACACGGGCGGCTTTTTGGCATGCCGTGTCGCAGCGCACAGACTCGTTCTGCACTCATTTTCCAAATGAGCTGTTACTTGTCACTGTCATCCATTAAGCAGCTCTGAAAGACAAGGTCATTCCCACCAGATGCTCAACTCATTCCTTCCCTCAGAACCCGAGGCCAGACTTTCCCTTTCCTACGAGATGAGCCACAGATATTTCTGTCCAAGGAATGCTCCCGTCGATCAATGTGAAATAGAGACCACTTGTGGACAAGTTGTCTGGGTCCATTATTATACACTGGGACACAGCTAACTGTAGCTATGTTAAGCTTCATGGTTTTCCTGATGACAAAAATACATAAATATATAATTAAAAAAGACCAAGTTATATCTATTTTAATACTCTGGAAAATTTGCCTATTTATGGGCTAAGGATGAAACATTTTTGTTATCAATATGTGATTTCAAACATTTGGTCTATTCACATGCTACTTACTTCCCACCCAAGTCAGGGCCAACAACAGAGAGCATGTCTTTTCTTTCTTTTTTCTTTTTAAATATTTTTTATTGATTTTTTTTACAGAGAGGAAGGGAGAGGGAGAGGAAGAGGGATAGAGAGTTAGAAACATGGATGAGAGAGAAACATCCATCAGCTGCCTCCTGCACACTCGCCACTGGGGATGTGCCCGCAACCAAGGTACATGCCCTTGACCGGAATTGAACTTGGGACCCTTCAGTCTACAGGCCGAGGCTCTGTCCACTGAGCCACACTGGTTAGGGTGAGCACGTCTTTTCTACACCAACTTCCACGGGCCCACAGCCACAGAGTAAGGGGGTGGAGCCAGCCTCCCGGAGCCCCCTTGGCACCTGGCCACGGCAGTAGGCTGTGGCTCGGCTCTGTTCATTTGATTCTGACCTTGGGCCCTTTCTGGATGGCACCGGGCTCCACTCATTCTGGTCCTGCTTGTGCCTTTTTCTGGAGGAAGTCCCAGCTTTGCTCGGGAACTCTGAATTAATTCGATGGGACAGCAGGCTCTGTTGCCTTTTTACCACATAGAGACTGGGTGGCAGAAAAAGAAACACCCGAACAGCCTCTATAGCTATGTAAGCAGAGGGCAGGGCAGGGCAGGGTGGAGTACAGTAAGATGTTTGTCTATGTAGTATCTGGGTGTGTTATGTTTTCACGTAGAACTAAAGGTTTTATTTCTTTCTAAGTGGAGGGTTACTTGAGACACGAAAGAGGAAAAATAATATTTTTCAATAAATCTTAGATAGAAATACCTTAAGAAAAATATATATATACACTCAACTTGGTTAGTATAAAAACAAATCAGTTGTTTTAACCAGATCACTCTTGCAAAACTGGATAAAAATCACTTCTTTATATAAATATGCTCAGACATCAAATTTAAGAGATTTATACTTGAGCTACAACTGACTGACATTCAAGCCATTCAATAAGTTTTTAGTATCAGTGATAAGATACTAAAAGTAAAGACTCTTTCGTATACTTAGAAGCAAAACCAAAATAATGGAGGCCAGTTAATTCTTAAAATTCAAAGAGCCAACATTAACATACAAAACGAGTGTTTCTGAGAGCTTTCCACTGGATACTGTACTTCCTTAGAAATCCAGGATATATGAATTAAAAAAAAATTTTTTTTTATTGAGTTGAGAGAGGGAGAGGGAGAGAGAGAGAGAAACATTGATCCGTTACCTACTGCTTGCACCCAACCAGGATCAAACCTACAACCTGAGTATATGCTCTCACCAGGAATTAATTGCAATCTTTCAGCGAAAAGGATGATGCTCCATCAACTGAGCCACACTGGCCAGAGCTACATGAAATTAAAAAAAAAAACAAAAACCTGTCACATTTATAAATACTAAATCTAAATATGGACAAAAATGCACCACTGTTTTAAAGAATGAATTCAAAACAACATGCCATCTGAGGAGGGAAGGTGTTGACATGTTCTCTTGACTATCTCAAAAGACTTAAGTTTCTCCACCATCTGGCTTTCCAGTTTTTCAGAAGGGTTATTTATGTATTTGGGGGTAAAAGAATGACAACATTCTAAACTGTACCTCTCATCCCACTTTTGGCATTTTAGGATTAGCCTGGAGGTAAAAAAATATGTCAAAGTACTGCCAAAAATTAATTTTCTGATCAAGAAAGCAGGTCTTTTGTGCACTTCCTAAAGGAGCTGTTTTTGCTATTATTATTTACAAAGGTCTAAAACCACCGTAAAAAATCGAATCGAGTTTTACTGACTTCTACAATACAAAGCAATGTAAGCTTTTACTACAAATGTCAAATTAACCTTCTTTCAGTTGAAGGTAAAAGATATTACTGGACTATTTGGGTCTTCATGAGTCTACATGTTATAACATACGTCCTGGGCTGAACTGTGTCCTCCCTCCCCAAATTCCTATGCTGCAGTCCTAAGCCCCAGGACCTCAGAATGTGACTGGCTGGGGAGACAGGGCCTTGAAAGAGTCAGGTTGAAATGAGGTCATTAGGTGGGCCCTAAAAAGACTGGTGCCTTTATGAGAAAATGTGGATACAGACACGAGACAAGGAAAGGACACGTGAAGACAGAAAGAACACAGCTACCCACAAGCCAAGGGGAGAAACCTAGGAAGCAACAATCCTGCTGACAGGCTGCTTCTGGACTTGGAGGCTCCGGACTGTGAGATAATTAATTTCTGTGGTTTCAGCCACCCCGTCTGCGGTGCTTCGTTATGGCAGCGGCCAAACACAGACAGCGTCCTGATCATTTACAACTTCTAAAGCGCTCAGAGCACCAGATCCCAGGCTTGCCCTTGGGGAGTGCCATAGCAGGTTTTGCAGAAGGCCCTGCTTTGTCTGCTCAGTCTGCTTTTTGCACCCACGCTGCAATAGTAGGCCCCCAGAAACCCGCTCTGTGATGAGGCCAATAGTCCGTAAGGTTAGCACTGAAAATACCTGCAGTAGTCTGTTCAAATACACAGTACTGTACTCTCAAAGCAGATTCCAGGATACCAGATTTTCTGAATTTATGCTTAGTATAGGCCAGTGTTTCCCAACCTTCTCTCATGATGAGAATCACCTGGTGGAGTTGTTAAAACACAGGTGATTCTCATCATGAGAGAAGGTTGGGAAACATATAGGCATTACTAACAATATAATTGAGCTTATCAACATTAATCACCACCACCTCCGAGTTTATAGCACAGTTTTCTAAGAATTTAAGCAGTAATAGTAATAATGAAAAATACAGAGTTATTTAACTAAATAAATGTTAACATATTCTAGGTAGTGTTCTAAGTACTTGACATGTATCAATTCAATCCTCACAACCACCTTGGGTGAGAGATGCTATAATGCATGTAACTGACATAGGAATTCTTCATCATCACCCATTTTACAGCTGGGAAACCAAGGCATTAAGACTAACTTGCTTCTGGTAAATGATGGGAACGGGATTCGAACCTCAGTAATTTGACTCCAGAGGCTTCCTTACTAACCCCGCTCCTGGGAAACGTCTGTTCAATCTGATCTCATTTTATCAGCCTTGGGAAGGGCGTAGAGGAAAAACCGGGGCCCACGTGTGATTCACAGAGCTGGGAGACTAGTCCGGCACTGTCTGTTCACAGGTGAAAACTGAAGCCAGAGTGAAGTGACTTTTCCGGAGATTACGGCGAAATAGTAAAACTAGGTCTAGCACTCACGTCTTTTGAAGATCCAGACTAACCCACTTTTTGGGACACCATGATGGGTATCAGGTTTTTGTTGTTTAGCTGCTGGAACACACACATCTCTGGTGTCGCTCTGTGTGGGTGTGATGTCTCTCTTTCCTGCTGTGTGTGTACCTCTGTTTCTTTCCGGGTCCCCATGCTGCCAGCAGGATTTATATCAGATTGACGGAAAGGAGGAAGTGGCCTCATGCCCACAAACATTCAAACATCTCCCCCAAAAAGTAGCACAGGCTCGTAAAAACAGGTCTGTCTGCCTGGATATCTGTTTACACCCTTCAACTGTTCTCACCTGAGACAAGACCAAACCAGAAGAACTACATTAAGCAAGCTACTGG